TTATGAACTACTTCATCTTCTTTTCAAAAGAAAAACCTCTTTTTTTACTTCACGAATTAGAACCAAAGTTGGTTATTTGTAAACTAATATAAATTTCTGTTTCTTGCGTATTTTAGGTCAAAGCATTTATACCTATGACAGCTTTTCCCCTATTGTCTGAGCATTCGAAGAGATCATTTTTACCCTAGCAAAACTAAGATGGTTTCTCTTTTTTAAAACACACTCATTTCCAGATCTTTTACCATGATCAGACCATTTCGCCTCCTCAAATTTTCTTCCAGGCCTCTGTTGCTGACTGTCAGAATTTCATTCTTACTAAAAGTCTAAAGGATATTTTACTGAACCATTCTCTCATCTCACCTCCCAGAAATGAACTCTTCTTTGTCTGAACTCTGATAACCATGTTCATTTTAACTATTCCATGTACTGTCTCCCTTATAAGAGTATAACTTCCCTGAGGACAGGTGTTGCACCATATCCAGTGGCACCAGTGCCTTACATTTTAATGTGGTGGAGAAATACTTACTTCTGTTACACAAGGAATATATTTTGTGCTTCTTGCTCTGAAGATTCTGAAGGGGCAATGTAAAGATGTGAACTGAATTCTGTCTGAAATCCAATTTCATATTTGAGGCTTGACAACTGTTGTTCTTACCTGGTCTTTAGTAGATCTATAAGTCCCTAAACTTGTAAGCAAATATTCTTTATATGTCTATATGTACCCAGTTGTGTTTTTCCCAAGTTAAAGTTTAGGGCTTTCATTAGATTCTCAAAGGGATCTGTGACCCATAAAGGGCTGAGAATAACCGGCTACCTGCAGTTGGAGGAAACTATTTGCCACAGGTATACTGTGCATCAGAAATTATGCTAGGCTCGTTCATTTATCTTGCTTTTGCCTTCCAGCAGTATAATGCAATGTTTCTCATTATAGCAATAACTATTATAATAGTAATTATTATAGGCTAAATTTATTGTGTGTTTTTTTTTTTTTTTTTTGAGTCAGAGTCTCACTCTGTTGCCCAGGCCGGAGTATAGTGGCACACTCATGGCTACCGCAGCCTTTATCCGCTGAACTCAGGCCATCCTTTCACCTCAGCCTTCCAAGTAGCTGGAACCACAGGTGCATGACACCATGCCCAGCTAATTTTTTGATTTATTATAGAGACGAGGCTCACCAAGTTGCCCAGGCTGGTCTCGAACCCATGGGCTCAGGCAATCCTCTTTCTCCACCTCCCAAAGTGCTGGGATTACAGATGTAAGCCACCACACCCGGCTTTATTGTTGTGCTTTCTATATGCCAGGCACTGTTCCAAGCGCATATATAGATGAGCTCAATTAATATTCCTCCAAATCTTATTGGACAGGTGATATTTATAGTTCTCCCCCATTTTACATGTGACAAAGCCAAGGTGCAAAAAAGTCATGTAATTTGTTTGAGTGCACTCAACTAGTGGCAGAGTTCTTTATTCAAACCCAACGGGTTTACTCTGGAGCTCGCCCTCTTAGCCACTCTGCTGTTAGGTCACAGCTAACACATGGTAAAGCTGGGATCCAGGCCTGGAGAATTTGACTTCTCTTTACTACTTCTAAATTGGGGTTAAATGTGTCAACTACTCACCAAGGTTATAGAGCCTCGAAAGAGTAGAAGGCAGATTTGAACCCCTGTCTCTCCGCTTCCAGAGCCTACTCCCTTTCTGTTTGTCTTCTGCCTTTGAGTGCTTCTCACTGGGCTCATTCCTCTAGGGAAGCTGCTAACAGAGAAAAGTTTTTCTTGGTATTGGAGTCCTAAACTACCTGAAAAGCAGCAATACCCTCATCACTAATCTAAACTCTGTGAAGGCAGAAATTGAACTTTTCCATTATTTGCCTCATCCACAATACAAATGGGCTTTCAATAAACATTTGTTGATTCAGTCAATTACTGTATTCATGAAAACAGAGATGGGCTCTATCGTAGTTCATTCAGCTGGGAATTTTAGTAGGTGCTTGAATAGCACAATGTAAATGCCCAGGCCAGCATCACCAGTGAGTGATGTGACCCACTGGGTGACAAAAGGAAGCAGTTGGGTTGTGGCCAGGCACAGTTCAAAAGCATTTTTATTCTTTTTAGTTATTGAAAGTATTTTTAACTAGCAAACAAAGGTTCCAGGCAGCTTTTATTTGAAATTGCATGAAAGATTAGTAAATTTATTTTTAAAAAATTTTTATTATAGTTTATTTTGATTGATTGATTGATTTTATTTTTATATAGAGATGTGGTCTCACTATGTTATCCAGGCTGGCCTCAAACTCCTGGGCTCAAGTGATCCTCCTGCCTCGGCCTCTCAAAGTGTTGAGATTACAGGCGTAAGCCACCATGCCTGGATAAAAGCACTTTTAGACATTTTCACTGATTTAATCTCTGCACTAGCATGCAGAAAGCTCACACGGCTAATAGAGGAATTGTGACTCAAATCTAGATTGGACGACCACTATTCTATCCCACTTGTGGACTGTGTTTATGTGTCCACGTGAGGTAAGTGCAAGTAAGGGAAACATCATGGCGGAATGGAGGTCTTTGAGAAAAGAGAACTCTCAGACTCTCTTGTGAACAAGTAGAAATTTGATAAAGAGAGCTTAGATGTCACTAGCCTGTGAAAAACAGAACTGTGGAAACATCATACACGGTTTGCCAGACGGGATGTGCGAGGATCACGTTCCTCTTTGCTGTCCCCTTGAAGCTCTCTGTAAGTAATCTCCAAGCAATGGTCCTTTTCGTGAGACAGGAATGCCATCAACTCAGTGAACAAGTATGCCTTGAAGTTGCTTTTCCAATAGTGGTATTGTCATTGATTTGCTGTCATCCTTTTGTGCTTTCTCACAGGGCCTTTCCCGTGATCAGTGACACACATTTGCAGCGAGCTTTGATCCATACTCCTCTGGCTTCAGCCCTGAAAGGCATCAAGCCGAGGAGCCAGGAAGCTCAGGGGTCATGAACTTACTGCTGATTGTATAATGCTAGGCACCAGGAGAAAGCTTTCTGAATCCAATAGAATTAGAGCAGAGTTTCTGAACGCCAGCACTGCTACCGTTATAAGGGACTGTCCTATTCATTTTAGGATGTTTAGAGCATGCACTAGATGCCAGAAGCATCATCCTTCATGGTCATCAGCTCACAGTGTCTTCCTCCAAATACAGCAAGTCCCCTAGGCAGAAACAAATTTCATTCTGAGAGCACGTTTGTAAGTCCAACATAGTTAGCCTGGGTACCCAACTAATACAATTGGCTATACAGTACCAGCTGCATCACTGCTGCTTTTATGCTTACTTCTGGACATCCTGGGCTTGAAATAAAGATACTGCATTATTGTTCTCTATATAGTATTGTACAGTAAAGCACACAAAAGCACAACCACTTGCAGAGGATGCACGCACATGACAGTGTATGCCAGACATGTGAACTAACTTATGTGATTGGATATGCGAATGGACGTTCACATCTTTGAAAGTTCACAACTTGAAGGTTCACATGTAGGGGACTTAACTGTATTACAAAATGACCTCTGATTAAAAACCACGTGTTTACAGATATAGGCACATGCATATATGCACATATAGCCATGGTGCCTACAGTTGCCTTGGCATTGGGTTTTTGTTTTTTTTTTCTTCTTTGTGCTTTGGGTTTTTTTCCTTCACTGTAGTAGTGGGTTTTTTTGTTTCTTTTTGTTTTTAATCTAACGAGGACTCTGCTTCAATGTTGACTCTGATTTTTTTGGTCTGTCCATTTCACAAAACCTTTCCAAAGAGTTAATTATGACTGTTAACACTACTGTGTGCTTGCTACTCTGCTAAGCACTTCACATGTGTGTTTAAAATTTAATCATCGCTGGGTGCAGTGGCTCGCACTTGTAATCCCAGCACTTTGGGAGGCGAAGACGAGAGGATTGCCTGAACTCAGGGGTTTGAGACTAGCCTGAGCAACATGGCAATAATTAGCTGGGCATGGTGGCGCACACCTGTGGTTCCAGCTACTTGAAAGGCTGAGGCAGAAGGATCACCTGAACCTAGCAGGTCAAGGCTGCAGTGGCCATGAGTGTGCCACTGCACTCCAACCTGGGTGACAGAGTGAGACTCAGACTCAATAAATAAATAAATAGTATTTATTCATCAAAATAAGAAGGTGATCCTGTTATTCCCAGTTTGCAGATGAAGAAACCGAAGAACAGGGACATGAAAGGGACTGGTCCTAGATTTCACTGGTTTTGAGTCAACAGAGTTGGGATGCAGACTCAGGCTATCTGATGTCTTTTCCTTCTTGTCCACGATGCTTTACTATCTTCCTTTTTGGATGAAACCTGTACCATCACTGTGTGCCCCTTCAATTCTCAGGATTTTGACAACTGTGTGAAATTTGGTCTATAAGTCACAATCATACACCTGTACATTGAAATGATGTGCCATGCACAGTTAATTTCAAGTGTTAGTTTAGGCCAGACATGGTTGGCTCTTACCCGTAATCCCAACACTTTGGGAGGCCAAGTCAGGAGGATTGCTTGAGCCCAAGAGTTCAAGACCAGCCTGGACAAAAGTAGCGAAACCCCATCTCTTTTTTATTTTATTTTTGAGTTAGTGTCTCACTCTGTCACCCAGGCTGAAGGGCAGAGGCACACTCATGGCTACCACAACCTCAACCTGCTGTGCCCAGGCAATCCTTCTGCCTCAACTTTTCAAGTAGCCGGAACCACAGGTGTGCCATCACACCCAGCTAATTTTTTTTGATTTATCATAGAGACAAGATCTCGCTAAGCTGCCCAGGCTGGTCTCAAACTCCTGAGCTCAGGCAGTCATCTTGCCTTCACCCCCCAAAGTGCTGGGATTATAGGCGTGAGTCACCATGCCTGACCAGCTCCATTTCTATTTTTTTTAATTAAAATTAAAATGAAGTGTTTGTTTAGTTACCAGTCATGCAAATGAGAGCCGGCATTGACCATGGACATATGTCTTTCTCTTGTCACCACCAGAGTGTCTCTATGTGTTCCCCTGCCAGTGGAACTACCGTCCTGATCACTGTATGTATGGGAGCAACTGCAAAGATGCTGAGCGAGAAGGGGTGTCAGTTCTACACGGGAACCGAGGTGTCTACCATGATGACAAGCAGCCGACTTTCAGAGCACTCTATGAAGCAATACGGGATGTAAGTGTGCTCAGCAGTCACATGCCCGTCAACATGAAGCAATTCAGGAACTTTGTTCACCAGTCCCTCGGGAGGCCAGATATTCCCAAAGCATTGAGTTGTGCCGGTTTTTCCCAACCCCGGTCACTCTACGTTACTATGACCAGCTAATACATACCCACTCTTGATTTATTTCCTTGTACATCACTCATTATTTGTTATTTAAATAAATTTCCGCTAGGAGGAGATGTCATGTCACAACGAGAACCCCTATGCCATTTGCCATTGTTGAGAATAACATATTAGGGTCATGATAATACAGTCAAAATAAAATGGTATTATTCAGTTCAAGCTAAATATGTTGCCTACTTGCCAACTTGACCCTGTCGTGCAGTCAGGTGTCAAAGTGATCAGTTAGGACAAGGAGCCAAATTGAAAGTAGCAATCAAGACTTTTTTTTTACCTAACTGCAAAAGGAGACCCCGACTCCCTGTGTTCCATTTTCCCCCTAAAAGGGTACCAGGTGAGTGGAGGTAGTACAGATGGCAGGTATCTTCTCCCTGCCAAGGAGCACAGTAAGAGAGGATCTTGCATCCTTTTTTTTTTTTTTGAGTCTGAGTCTCACACTCTGTCGCCCAGGCTGGAGTACAGTGGCTCACTCATGGCCACCGCAGCCTCAACCTGCTGGGCTCAGGCGATCCTCCTGCCTCAACCTTCCAAGTAGCTGGAACTGTAGTCACACACCACCACACCCAGCTAATTTTTTAATTTATCGTAGAGATAAGGTCTCACCAAATTGCCCAGGCTGTTCTCAAATCTCTGGGCTCAGGCAGTCCTCTCACTTCAGCCTCCCACAGTGCCAGGATTACAGGAATGAGCCACCATGCCTGGCTGGATCTTGTATCTTTATGGCCTCCTGGGCCAGGGATGGGGGAGGAGAAGAGAAGCAGGTTGAGTGGGAGTCAGAGTAGAGCAAAGTGCTTTGGCCAAGGTACCCCAGGAAGGAAGTTTCTGAATGGAAGTGCCTAGGCAAGGCTGCAGATATATGCGTGATCAGGGCTGGCCTGGGCCCTTGCCTGCAACTCTCTCCAGCAGACGGTTAGGCTGTTCACTGAATCTGCTGTGGGGAGGACAGTTTTCCTCAAAGACCTACCAGTCAAACCTTGTCCTTGCCTGTTGTTAGACTTGACAGATCACGTCTGGAAGTTTGGCTTGGTGCTGGACTCCCTCAATACCTGAGGCCCACTCTTCTTCAAAGAGATGAAGTAGCAAGTTTGTTGTTGGTGGTTGCTTGTTTGAGTCAGAGTCTCACTCTGTTTCCCAGGCTGGAGTACACTGACACGATTGTGGCTACCACAGCCTCTACCTGCTGGGCTCAGGCGATCTTTCTGCCTCAGCCTTCCAAGTAGCTGGGACTACAGGAGCACGCCACCATGACCTGCTAATTTTTTGATTTACTGTAGAGACGAGGTCTTGCCATGTTGCCCAGGCTGGCCTGAAACTCCTGGGCCCAGGTGATCCTCTCACCTCAGCCTCCCAAAGTGCTAGGATTACAGGCATGAGCCACTGCACCCAGCCTATTGTTGTTTTTTGAGACAGGGTCTCGCTCTGTTGCCCAGATACAGTCTTGGCTTACTGCATCCTCAAACTCCTGGACTCAAGCAATTCTTCCATTTCAGCCTCCTAAATAGCTGGGACTACAGGCACACATCACCCCATCCAGCTAACTTTTTTTATTTTTTCATCTTTGGTGGAGGCAGGGTGTTGCTATGTTGCCCATGCTGGTCTCGAACTCCTAGGCTTAGGTGATCCTCCCACCTCTGCCTCCCCAAGTGCTAGGATTACAGGTGTGAGCCACCGTGCATGGTCTGATTAGCAAGTTTTAAGGAGACATATATGAACTATCTTCTTGCAGTAAATGGGAAGATTGTAAAGACTTTGCTTTGTGATTTACCACCTGGTTCATCAGATCAAGTACTCTCTGCTGCTTCACCTCCCTCACTTTTGGAAAACGCTGTACTCCATGTTTCCTTTTCCTTGAGATTGCTAGGGGAAAGCCAGTAACAAGTGCTTCTAAGGATTACCCTTCTGAAACCGTAATCCCAAGATACAGAGCAGAGATCAGCAAACTTGGGCCAAATCTGCTCTGCTGCCTATTTTTATAAGCTATGTGGTCTAAGATTAATTTTTACGTGTTTAAATAGAAGGAAAAAATTAAAAGAAGAAGAATATTTTGTGGCATGAGATTCAGATTTCAGCAATTCATAAGTAAAATCTTTTGGGAACCCAGTCACTCCCATTAATTTAAGTATTGTCTTTTTTGTTTGTTTGTTTGTTTGGTGGACACAGGGTCTCCCTGTGTTGTGGAGGCTAGTCTCTGACTCCTGGTCTCCAGCGGTCCTTCCATGTTAGCTTCCCAAAGCTCTGGGATTACAGGCGTGAGCCCACCCATTTATGTATTGTCTATGACTGCTTTGGTGCTAAAGCAGCAGGACGGTTAGTTGTTATAGAAAATGTATTGCCCACAATGTCTAAAATATTTACTGTCTAGTCCTTTGCAGAAAAAGTTTGCCAACCCTTGACATAAAGTGTGTAGACTTTATTAGGTTTTTCTTAAGAATCTAGGAATCCTCAGTGTTTCATGAACAGGCTTTGGCAGATGTGAGGTAGGGGGTAAATCCTGTGATATAATAACACGTTTTTGTATGTATAAAAATGCACAATTGGGGTTAGGCATGGTGGCTTATGCCTGTAATCCCAGCACTTTGGGAGGCTGAAGCAGGAGGATTGCTTGAGGTCAGGGATTCAAGACCAACCAGCCTGGGCAACATAGTCTCTTTTATATTTTGTTTAAAAAAAGGTGTGTTTGATGGAGAGAGTACCCTAGAATTCCAACTCTGGAATTTCCAGATCTGACTTCTGTGCAGGAAAGGAGTTTAGTATACATCTAAGCTAGTACCTCTTTCTTAGACTGCACTTCCTGCTGTTTGGTTTTCAAAGGCCAGGTGATTTAATTATATAGAAAATGTGTTCCATACTTAATGATATCTCACATTTTAGGTTTTCAAACAGACTCCAGGGCAAACCCATTCCAGAGTAAAGTGAAAGTTAAACAAGTCAATATGCAGCAACTTTGTGTCTGTCAGAACCACTCTGTAGTAGCTTATGTGATCTGTCAGCCTGGTTTGGAATTGAGCAATGGTGGTTCTTGAGTTACAACTCATCTTGTTTGTTTTCTGCAGAAAGAGAAGGGGGCCGAGTAACTTTGTTTCATAAATGAATCTGCTTAATGCACTCAGTGATGTTCCTAAGCTGAGCCTAAAAGTACAGTTTTTGTTCAGGCACTTCAGTCAGGAAAATCACTAACCCCAACCCAGAATGTAGGCAGACTCCACCATAAAAGATGTATCTCCTGACTGGGCACAGCGGATCATACCTATAATCCCAGCACTTTGGGAGACAGATGGGAAGGTCACTCGAGCCCAGGAGTTCGAGACCAGCCTGGGCTACATAGTGAGATCTCCTCTCTATAAAAAATAAAAATGAAAAAATTAGCTGGAAGTGGTGGTATGCGCCTCCAGTCCCAGCTACTCAGGAGGCTGGGGCAGAAGAATTACCTGAGCCTAGGAGTTTGAGGCTGCGGAGAGCTGTGATCGTGCCACTGCACTCTAGACTGGGCAACAGAGTGAGACCCTAATTCCAAAAAAAAAAAAAAAAAGCCAGGCTCGGTGGCTCAGCCTGTAATCCTGCGCTTTGGGAGGCCGAGGTGAGTGAATTGCCTGAGCCCACAGCTTCGAGACCTGCCTGGGCAACTTGGCGAGACCTCATCCCTACAATAAATCAAAAAAATTTGTGGGATGTGGCAGCGTACGCCTGTAGTTCCAGCTACTTGGAAGGCTGAGGCGGAAGGATCGCCGGAGCCCAGCAGGTCGAGCGACAGAGTGAGACTCCAACTCAAAAAAACAAACAAAAAGAGGTATCTATATCCTCTTCATGTAATGGATCAGAGCTTGGTTTTCATAATTTTCCACTTACCTCTTGCCCTAGTTTGTTCACATTTTCTCACTTGCTCTGTCTTCCTTTTTATAAATATTCTCTCTCTCTCTGCTTCTCCTCCTCCTCCCTACCTCCCACCCTCCATCTATCAGATAGATGTTCTTTTGGTGATTCTCTGGACAGTCATTTATGAAGCACTCATTTTATGTAGGAGCAATTCCATTTTCTAAGAATTTGGAATTTTGACAAGGACAAAGCCCTCATCCTTAGGAAGCATGTATTCTGGTATCTGGTATACTCATAGACAAATAAATAAAAGTAAATCCTCTGAGATGGTGAAAAAAGTTAAGAAGGTATGGGGGGGGAGGGGGATGGGATTAACAGTAGCAAATATCTGTCTGGGGAAGGGGAAACACCTCTTATCAACAGGGTGCCTGAATGAAACGTAATTGTACACCTAACCCTTAACTGTACCCCACAAAACCATAATAAAAAATATTGATAAAAAAAAAAAAGAAAGTATCAGAGAAGCAGGGTGATGGGTCCAGAGTCCCAGGGTGGAGAAGTATGTCCTACTCCCTGGGGTGTAGGGGCGGCCGCTGCAAACCTGGGCCTCGACTAGGTAGAGGCAACTCTGGAGAAATTTGAGGAAGACCTTGATGAGCAGAAGAAATAACCAGGGGCAAGTCCCTGAAGCAGTAGTTAATTTGGTGCGCCCAAAGGACAGGTGTCAGGACGGGCCAGATAAAAGATGAGAAGAAGCCAAGGGGGAAACCTTTCAGGACCCCTTGAGCCTTTAGATACCAGTGGTCTGTGGCCTGTTAGGAACCAAGGCCTCTCAGCAGGAGGTGAGTAGCGGGCCAGCAGAGCTCCAACTTCTGTCAGATTAGCGGTGGCATTAGATTCTCAAAGGGGCATGAACCCTATTGTGAGCTGCACAAGCAGGGGATCTAGGTTGCACACTCCTTATGAGAATCTAACACCTGATGATCCCCACCCCCCATTCGTGGAATAATGGTCTCCCATGAAACTGGTCCCTGATTCCCAAAAAAAGGTTGGGGATTGCTGCTTTAGAACAAGGAAGCAATTGGAATCTTATTCTAATTGCGTGGAAAGCCCCTGCGGGAAGGTGGTGGGCTCTGATAGATGCTTTAAACATATCACCTTGGTGACATGGTGGGAGGTCTACAAAAGCAAAAACACAAAGGCTGTTTGAGGCTGATCGCAGCCATCCAGGCAAGCACTGGGGCTGACCTGGGCTGCCACAGCAGCAGGAAGATGGGAAGATGTGGTCATATTCAGTATGTGTTGTCAAGATAGAGCCTACCGGACTTGCTGGTGGATTGATTGAGGGGCAGGGGGAAACAAAGGAGTCAAGGGTGACTCCAGGGCCTTGACCCATTCTATTCCCACGGCTGAGGACACAGTGGTAAAAAGGACAGATTCAGCCTAGCCTCAAAGGGGTTTATCGATGGCTTAAATTGCCATTAAAATTTTTTTTTTGAGACAGTGTCTTGTCACCCAGGCTGCAGTTCAGTGGCACTATCACCTGACCTTCCAGGCTCAAGTGTTCCTCCCACTTCAGCCTCCCAAGCAGCTGGAACCGCAGGTGCACATCACCATGCCCAGCTGAATTTTTTATTTTTTTGTAAAGACCAGATCTTGCTATGTTGCCCAGGCTGGTCTCAAACTCCTGGGCTCAAGTGGTCCTCCCATCTCAGCCTTTCAAAGTGCTGAGATTATAGGTGTGGCTACCATGCTTGGCCAGAAAATATCATTTCAAAATAAACATGCTTAAGGATGGCATGATCACAGCTCACTACAACTTCAACCCCCGGACTCAGGTGATCTTCTTGCCTCAGCTTCCCAGGTAGCTGGGACTACAGGCATGTGCCATCATGCCAAGCTACTTTTTTGTCGTTGGTGTTGTTTTGTAGTGATAAGGTCTCACTATGTTGCCCAGGTTGGTCTTGAACTCCTGACTCAAGCAGTCCTCCCACCTCAGCCTCCAGAGTGCTGGGATTATAGGCATGATCCACCATGCCTGGGCTTTGATGGATTTTAAAGGGATTAAGACTTGTTCTGAGAACCAGACAGCCACCTATTTTGTCAGGCAAAAGTGTACTGATCTTTAACCATTCTTTTCTTTTTTTTTTTCTTTCTAGTTTTATATAAAATGTCCTGGCTAAGAATCAGTCTTTGACTTGACCTACTAGTAGCCTTTTTCCTTTCTTTTTTTTGAGTCGGAGTCTCATTCTGTCACCTAGACCGGGGTGCAGTGTCACACACGTGCCACCATAACCTTGACCTGCTGGCTCAGGCAATCCTTCTGTTGCAGCCTTCCAAGTAGCTGGAACTGCAGGCGTGCGCCACCACATCTGGTTAAATTTTCTTGATTTATTGTAGAGATGAGGTCTCACCAAGTTGCCCAAGCTAGTCTCAAAGCCCTGGGCTCAGACAGTCCTTTTACCTCAGCCTCCCAAAGTGCTGGGATTATAGGCGTGAGCTACCATGCTTGGCAGCCTTTTCCCTTTCAACAAAAGTTTGATAAAACTTTGACACATGCTCACAGCTAAGTGATCTGAAAGATTTATTTTGGGAAATACTGCTCATGGACAGATTCCATGGGAAAACAAAGAATTAAAAAACAACAACAGACTGGGCATGGTGGCTCACGCCTATAATCCCAGTACTTTAGGAGGCAGAGGTGAGAGGATAGCCTGAACCCAGGGGTTTGAGACCAGCCTGGGCAACTTGGCGAGGCTTGTCTCTACAATAAATCAAAAAATTAGCCAGTTGTGGTGGCATGCTCCTAGAGTCTTAGCTACTTGGAAAGCTGAGGCAGAAAGATCACCTGAGCCCAGCAGGTTGAGGCTGCGTGGCTGTGAGCATGCTACTGCATACTAGCCTGGATGACAGAGTAAGACTTTGATTAAAAAAAAAAAATTCCCTAACCCGGATGCAGTGGCTCACGCCTATGTTCCCAGCACTTTGGGGAAGCCAAGGTGAGAGGATTGCCTGAGCCCACGAGTTCGAGACCAGCCGAGCAACATGGCAAGACCTTACTTATCTCTACAATAAATCAAGAAAAATTAGCTGGGCCTGGTGGCATGTGCCTGTGGTTCCAGCTACCTGGAAGACTGAGGCAGAAGGATCACCTGAGCCCAGCAGGTCGATGCTGCGGTGACCGTGAGCGTGCCACTGCACTCCAGCCTGGGTGACAAATTGAGACTCTGACAAAAAAAAAAGCTCCAATATTAAGTGGTTACAAAAAAATCAATATTTGATACCTGAATTATTAAAATATAGTTTATTAGCCGGGCTTGGTGGCTCAGCCTGTAATCCCGCACTTTGGGAGGCTGAGGTGAGTGGATTGCCAGAGCCCATGGGTTCGAGACCTGCCTGGGCAACTTGGTGAGACCTCATCTCTACAATAAGTCAAAAAATTAGCCAGGTGTGGTAGTGTGCACCTATAGTTCCAGCTACTTGGAAGGCTGAGGCGGAAGGATTGCCAGAGCCCAGCAGGTTGAGGCTGCGGTGGCCGCTCCAGTCTGGGCGACGGAGTGAGACTCCAACTCAAAAAATAAAAATAAAAAAATATATATATATAGTTTATTGCCAGTAAGTTTCACTAACAATTGCTAAACTCTGGACTTTGTGAGATTACCATAGATATACCCTAAACTTTCTTTGTTAAAGATTGCTTCAAAGGCAAAAACAATACGAATAATTCAGCATTTTATTTTAGTATATTTCAAGGGAGTATCTACTTGAGTTTTGCTTCTTTCGAGTCAGCAGGAACATGCTATATGTAGACTTTCCTATTCTTAGAGATATGCTTTGTTTTGGGATTGTAAGAACATTTAAGGACAAGTAAATATTTGTGTGTGTGTGTGTGTGTGTGTGTGTGTGTGTGTGTAGTCAAGAAACTGAAGTCCAGTGAAGTTAGATGATTACCTAGTGTTGCACAGCTGAGTCAGGATTTCAGCTAGGTCCAAGGAGGTCTTTTCGCTGGTCTAAGAACACACAAATCTGTGCCAGCGTGCTTACAAGAATTCCCCTGTGTCGTTTCTTTCTCTTTCTTTTTTTTTTTTTTTTGAGTTAGAGTCTCACTCTGTTGCCCAGGCTGGAGTGCAGTGGCATGCTCATAGCCACCCTAGCGTCAACCTGCTGGGCTCCAGCAATTCTTCCACCTCAGCCTTCCAAGTAGCCAGAACTACAGGCATGCACTACCACACCTGGCTAATTTTTTGATCAATTATAGAGACGAGGTCTCACCAAGTTGCCCAGGCTGGTCTCGAACTCCTTGGCTCAGGCCATCCTTTCACCTCAGCCTCTCAACGTGCTAGGATTATAGGATTGAGTCACCGTGCCCAGCCCCCCCCATGCCATTTCTTAGTAAGAATGATTTGTGTTGAAAATGTCATTTCAGCAACTAAACTTTTTCTTTTTTTTATATCATCTTTCAGTTTCCCTTTCAAGACAATCTCTTTCAATCCATGTACTACCCCCTTCAGCTGAAGTTTTTGGAGACTGTGCACACGTTATGTGGACGAATCCCGCAAGTTTTTCTGAAGCAAATTGAGAAAACAATGAGAAGGGCCTACGAGAAACACGTCATCATCCATGTCGGCCCCAACCAGATGCATTGAGTGTTTTTGTCTTGTTGCAAGTAAATTCCATGTCTTGTGACCAAGGAAATATTCATCTTGAAGCTGCCTGGATCTTTTTGTGTGAATATTTAATGGTGCTCCTTGACTGTTTAGTATTAAAAGTCTTGTTAAAGTTTGGTAAATTAGTTACCCCTAAAAGGGAATAGGCTTCGCTTTCATTTTTTTCTAAAAATTTTTTTTTAATGATTATTGTGCATTTAACATTGTTCAAGCAGGTTGAGCTAGCTATGAAAAGAAACTGTCATGAGTCTTCCAACTCCTGTGTCTGAAACCATTTCAGTGGCACCTGAGGTGTTATATTTATATAGTATTCCTGAGACTTTTTATGCAATTGGCTCCTCCACACCCTTGTCATGTAAGTAATACATACTTGCTGGACACGGTGACTCACACCTGTAATCCCAGCACTTTGGGAGGTAGAGGCGAGAGAATTGCCTGAGCCCAAGGGTTCGAGATTAGTCTGGGCAACTTGGCGAGTCCTTGTCTCTACAATAAATCAAAAAATTAGCTGGGTGTGGTGGCATGCATCTGTAGTTTCTACTAGTTGGAAGACTGAGATGGAAGGATCGCCTGAGCCCAGCAGATTGAGGCTACGGTGGCCGTGAGCGTGCCACTGCACTCCAGCCTGGGCAACAGAGTGAGACTCCAACTCAAAAAAAGAAAAAGTAATGTATGCTTTTGAAGTAAACAAATAAACTTGTAGAGAATATAGGTCAATGGCCCCAAATCAAAATTAGATTAGCCATAATCTTACTGACAGTGGAAAAGATTGTTACCATTTTTAATGTAGTTCCCTCCAGCCATTTTTTTCCTACGTTGATATATTCCATTATAACACATATCTAAAACAGGTAGTCTCAGGAAAAGCTGGCCTTTTTGCTGAGATTTTTACATAGGAGATGAAAAGTTTAGACAAGATGATTGATTATATTTACAGCATTTTACTTAAAATACATCTGAGAGAAGCATTCAAAGTTCAGCTAATTGAGCAGTGTTCAAGGATAAAACATGTATCTGGGAGTGTTTCTAAAGAAAAATTGTTTCAATTTTTGGAGGACTCAATCATAAGAAATTTCTAGCTGCAATTGCTTCTGAAAGGAAATTCAGTGATTTTGTGTACCCACAGAAAGACATTTGATCTCTTAGTCGTCAGTAGATGTGGTCATCTCTCTTCTTTAAACACTTGGGCAATGAATGGAAATCAAAGGCCAACTTCAAATTTAATGTGTACCACATAGTTCAGCTGCTTCCATTGGCAAGAAAATTCAACTTTCTGCCAGCCTTAGAAAGGTCTCTTTAAACTATTTCCCCCTCCCCACCCCCCCAGGATTACCCAGCTGTTAGCCCAGCAACTTTGCAAGTCTTATCGCCTAGCTACAGTAGAGGAAGTTCTATATTCTATTCCCCAAAGGGATCTGGCTTAATCCCTAGTTGCTTGTATAGTTGGTATCAGCAGAGGGGTATTTTGCATAATGCTTTATTTTTCTCAAATGATTTTTGCATAAATGATCTTCTTGATGTTTGCAACAGCCTGGTGAATTTAGTAGGGACCTAGATCATCTTTATGAGGTAAATAAGGAAATTACAACAAAGAAATGAACATACCAACTATAATTGCTGTTCTATAAGACACACAGGTCTGTGTTAGATGCATCCTATTTTACAGAGACATTTTTTGAAATAAAAATACTGAATACCTTTTGTCATATTGAAAATAATCTGAAAGTATAAAATGGAAGGTATTATCTTATTAATGTAAATGGTATCCTATGTATTGAAATCCAGGAAAGTATCAAAGGTGCTTTATCAGCAGAAAAAGTCTTACCCTGAAAAAAATGTATGAAAATCTCAGCACAACACAGAAATATATAGATATTAATCAATATTGGTATGCAGCTCCATGATAAGTAGTAACATCTTTAAATCTAAAATATTACAGTAGTAACCCATACTTTCCTTTTGATCATTTGGGTGGCCTGTGGTTTGTTATTTTTGTTAAGGAAACTGCCATTATGATGTTAAACTCATATTTACTGTTCTATTTTATGTTTTCTCAGTTTACCACTAGAAGTGACATCATTTATTATTTTATATCTTTAGCTCAAGGCCTTCCATCCATGGTATGTGCACATAGGGTATGGAACAATGTTTAAATTGCCTTTTGGATAGAGAAAAATGCATCCTATATACCCTCCCAAGTATAATTTTAGTGAAAGAGAGTGTGGAACACAATTTTCTAATTTCCATTCCAGTTTTCTTTCTTCTTGTTCAGAATGCCCAGTAAAATTCACAAATGTCATTCAGATTTGTTGATGACTAACAGACTGGAAGAAGTTTATTCCCTCTTTTGCTCTAAAGACTTCAAATACAACAATGCCTTTTCTTTTAAGAGTGCCAGCTTTACCTACAACTCTCAACTATTGGTGTTGGTCTAAATATGCAGAACAGGGTTGCCCACAAAGGTCAATGATAGAACCCTAGAACATTCTAGAATGATGAATTATCAGACTGTGAAATCAGAACCTGGTGTGGTTTTCTGCTTTGAAATTCCTGTGCTATATACTGAAATTTTAGATGAGTTTAGCAGAGAAGGTAGGGAAAATTTGCTCTTTTAATCCCCACTGCCTGAAAGTGCTAATTATTTTCTATAGCTAGGATATTACCATGTGGCAGTATTTTCTCTGCCTTTGATAATTCCCAGCAAACGACTACATTAATACCTTTGAAATCTGAGAGCCACAAATTTTATTTCAGTGGACTCCTAAAACATGCAATCTATTGGCCAGGTGCAGTGGTTCATACTTGTAATTCTAGTACTTTTAAGAAGCCGAGGTGAGAGGTTTGCTTGATCCCAGGGGTTTGAAAACCAGCCTGGGCAACATAGCAAGATTTCATCTCCACAAAAAAAAAAAAAAAATTTTCACAAAATTAGCTTGGTGTGGTGGTGTGTGCCTGTAGTCCCAGCTACTGGGGAGACTGAAACAGAAGGATCACCTGAGCCCGGAGGTTGAGGCTGCGATTAGCCTGGTCGTGCCACTGCACTTCAGCCTGGGTGACAGAGTGAGACCCCCTCCCCCCAATCAATAAACAAACAAAATGTGCGATCTGTGGTCTAAAGTTTGCCAAATATTGCATTGCCTCATCTGCCACATTGAATCCATACTGGGAGGAACGTGGCCTAGCTCTCTCCTCTCTTCCTGTCCTGCTCTCTCTTCTCTCCTTTCTTGTTTACTCATTTCTTTTAAAATTCTATTTAATAAATATGACGATGGAATTCCACTGGAGAATGAACAAATGCTTTGTAGTAGCAAAATGTGACTATTTTTTTATGTATTGAGATTGAGGCTTTCGACAGCAGAGCCACTAGAAATGCTGACAGTATTTTTCTTGCTGAGTTTTTCTTCTGTATAAATCTCAGAAATCACTACTTAGATTGAACATTCCAATATTTTAAAAAATTAACTGGCTAGAAAATCAATGTAAGTTTTCCTTCAATTTCCAAAATGACAGTTTAGCATTTGCGATATAATGCTCCAAGTTTGACTATTCAGACGAAATCTCTATTTCATATTCAGTGCTTACATTGCAAATTATGACTTTTACTGAATTTGGTATTGAAATGGGTGTTTATACAGACTCAAAGTTTTGAAAGTATTTCTTTTATTACAGTTATGGTATTTGTAAGCAAAAACAAACCAAATCATACAAAATATTATTTGCAGTGGTTGCCCACAAAATAAGGATCTGATAACAAAATAAATTACTCCAACCCACCTTGAAAACAGGACAATATTCGTGCAGATTTAGATTTACATATTTATGACCTGATACTTACACATAAAAGATAAATTGCATGTATTTAATAAACCAAAGTGAATATGACTTCCTGACTGAAGTTAGAAATATATTGAGTTCTATGGGGACACACATCATTATATTCTTACTGAATACAAAGGTAGGGAATGTTTCTAATGTTTTTCTGTTTCTCTACTACTTTTTCCTATTCCTCTTTGTCATGCTTGCCTTTCCCTTTCTGTCTATGATGTAAACTTCTGAAGCTTGGCTTGAGTGGTAGAGTGAAAGAACTTAGGGGTTCCTGGGTGACAGAACTAAGTTCTAATCCTGAGATCAGATCTTTATGATAAGGGTTTTCCACAGTTAAAAAATAAAAATAAGTCAATACAACACACACACGTGTGTGTACACGCACGCACATACACGCACATAATGCCTTCCAAAGGAGGAGCCAATGTTTGTTATACCTATGAACTGAATAATGATAGTCAAGCCTTAGGTCAAATTATTTCATCATTGCTGGTATTTAAAGCTGGTGAGATTTCTTTGACATAGAGACAGCTTTGTCCTCATTTTTGTTCCTTACAGGTCAAAACTGGAAATATTCTCTTGAGTCTTCAGGATAAAGTACTTGTGTTTGTATTACCATCTGCATGAACATGTCAGCATCAGGTGCAGTTTCTGCTTCATCAGTTTTACATGTTTGTGTTGTCAGTGAAAAAAATGCACCCATTGTTTATAGCTCCCAAGGAGACCCTGAATGCATTTTTTATGTTGTAAAACATTTTTCTGGTACTTTTTCTTTGTGAAGAAATGAGCATAAAAAAGAATACTCCAAAGAAAAGGAATTATTACAGCAAATTAAAAGAAACACAAATATTAAGTTTTAATTACTATCTTGTCTTTTAAAATGCCATCTCTTGTTTTATCCTTTTTTAAATTAAAAGCTTTTAAAACATATCTTTGAGTATTATTTTGAAGGTGTATTTATTCTCCTTTATAAAATTTCAAATTTTAAAATTTAGAATAGTAACATTTAAGTTCTTACAACTAGTAGAGAAATGATTTGGTTTAGCAAGTAGCTTTGTCAATTTTTAAAAATCACTAAAATTTGCTTTGTTTCTAAAAATGCCATACTATAAACGATGTTATTTTGTTTTAATGATATTTTGTGTTTGAGATGGAATGGGCAGAGTTTGAAGAATGTGAAAATTAGTTCTCCATGTTCCTACCTTTTATTTA